TTTCAGTTATTTGCAACAGCAAATGTTGTTTTTGTGACTTTAAGGGTTCATCTTAAATTTTTTCACTCCAAAACAGTCATGGAAAAAATGCAGTGGACTGTTGCCAAGAAGACCATTTATCGGACAGGGCTTTTGTTAACAAATGTTTTATAATGAATTGATTAAATACATTTTGTACTGCTGCCCTGTGCATCACATCCCTGAATAATACATTAAGCAACAAAAACATGATTAAATGCAGTATAAAGACATTTGTTGTTCTCTGTACTTTAAGACCCCAGAAACGGTGTTTGAACATTCGATTCTGTCCTTTGGTTAACAATAAAACCCCTCGAATGCTAGATCCAATTGTGCTATGGGGACCCTAAGACATGTTTTACTTGAGAATCAATAATCTTGGAACATTGAAGCACCTTCCAAGTTTAGATAAACAAAATGCACATGTGGTTCTATTGCAGGGTCACAATATCATGCTGGATTCACAACTGCAGCAAAGAGAAAAGAAAATGAGTTTTTTTTCTGGTCTGACAAGAGTTTCCCCGTCAATCCATTTTGTTTTTCTCCATCTCTCTTAGTCGTCTCTCCAACATCTTGATTTTTTCCTCGAGGTGCCTATCTGGCTTTGCAGATGTTGAACCTATTCCTAACAGGAAACAAACACATGCCAGGCCCGCTAGTCTTATCGCTGTGGTTTCTGCAGAGGCTCCAGTGTCGCTGAGAATCAATCCAAACATGCCTATGGCAAAGGTGACCTTCAGCAGCCACAGAGCCTGCCTTATAGCTCCAACAACCAAACTCAGGATGAAGGATATTATCCAGTAGGCCACAACAACCAGAAGGGCCCACTGAGCGACAAAAATCACTCCCTCCGGAGTAACTTTTTGGAAAGGTAGCTTGGCTAGATAAAAGCATGAATGAAAACATACATGTGAGAATGTGTTTTGGTTTAAATAAATTGAAACTTTCAAGTATAATTTTCAATATATTTACCATCAATTCCTGCTGATTTCAAGATTTCCGTAACATACTGGTTGACCATATTAAGTGCTGATGCCACAGCATCTGACATCCATTTTACACCACTTTGTAGAAACTGATGCCCATGAATAAAAAAAAACAAAAAAAACAGTATCATTATTTTTCCAAAGAAAAGAACTTGCCAGTACAGCAAGCATCATGTAGTAATATACGTTGCATTAGCAAATTAGCAAACCAAGAGGCAAATGAATCTAATTCTGCTTTTCCGAGAACCACCTTCGGTTTTCTTAGCCATTTTAAACTTTCATCAGCTGGCGTCAAGGTCAATTCCCTGGCATTTCAGAGCTCCGTGATATTACAACGAGAAAGTTTACAAATATTACACTGAATGATAGTTTTTTATTTATTTATTGGTTGCCACTTGGTTTCTCATAGAGCCAGCATTATATTACACAGTGCAGTGTTTTTTTGTTTTTTACAATGTAAGCTCACCTTGAGAGAAAGGTCAACTCTCTTTTCACCAAATATAGAGACCAGGCAACTGTGGGCTTCCTCGGACAAACTTGTGATGATGGACCGCACATTTTGCAGGGGACTAGACTGCTCACCCCATTCCAAAGAGTGGCACAACGGTATCAACAGATATGAAACTGAAAGTATAAGTGTGATAAAATAGAAACAACGGCCCATTTTAAAAAGTGCCTTTAATTACGCTAATAACACGCCGGCGCAATAGTGTTTAAACTCGTATTCGTATTATTCGCAAACAACGGGTACAGAAACAACTTGAAAACAACTGACGGGCAATACTACATGGAAAGAGTCAAGACATTGAAGGCGTCTCCGCTTGGGGATTACTAAATGAAGTTTAAGATGGGCATTTTATATCAGAAACGGTCTTACAATGGATGCCAGCTCTATCCTTCACTAATAAACCCGAGTTTCACGAAACTAATCCATAAAGCGTTTCTTTTCCCGGAGCAATGCCTGCTTCCTCTTTCTTTCCCGGAAAGGGCAACCCTGCCGCCTACCGATGACTCGAGACTGCGCGGTCTTTATCAAGAAGAATCGTCACATGACCTGATCCCATATGACCCTAGACCACAAAACCAGTCATAAGTGTCCCTTTTTTTTTATTGATTTATACATCTGAAAGCTGGATAAATAAGCTTTCCATTGATGTATGATTTGTTAGTATAGGACACTATCTGTCTGAGATAGCTACAAATATTTGAAAGTCTGGAATCTGAGGGTGCAAAAAAAATCAAAATATTGAGAAATTCACCTTTAAAGTTGTCCAAATGAAGTTCTTAGCAATGCATATTACTAATAAAAAAATCAAGTTTTGATATATTCATGCTAGGAAATTTACTAAATATCTTCACAGAACATGATCTTTACTTAATATCCTAATGATTTTTGGCATAAAAGAAAAATTGATAACTTGTGACTTATGACTGGTTTTGTGGTCCAGGGTCACATATGAGAATTGTGAAAGACCATGCTTAGCCTTTAGTAAACGTTTGAAAATACCAGAAAAAAATGAAGAAATAAATTTGTGTCCTACTTTTATTGCAAAAAAACAAAGCAGAGACTATTGTGTGCACCATAAGCTAACAGCATGATGCACATTTAGTAGTATAAATTTATTATTAGTATTATTAGTAGTTTATTTAATATTATTTATTAGCAGTGTATTTATTATCCTCATACATAACAATAGCAGAGTGAGAAAGAAAGTCACAAATACTGAATTTTCAGAATTATGCTGACAAAAAGACTACTTTTTTTTTTTTTTTATCTGTGTGCATGTTTTGCCTTATACAGCAGATAGTCCTCTTTAGTGGGGCAACACACGGTGAAAAGAGGGTCAAAAAGACCCATGATTGCTGTCTCATTTCGAGCATTATCCATGGCTGTCTGTCCCCACGCATCTTTCTCCTAAGAGTGAACAGGTTAAAAAATAGGGATGTATTTAACAAACATTAAAAGCCTAAAAAAATAGTACTGTCCAATCAGATAGTAGTTCATACCAGTGGCGTGGCTCCATATTCCAGTAGTTTGGTGATCATAGACTTGTCTTTCAGATAAACTGCCTCATGCATTACTGTCCGTCCATCATAATCTTTAGTGTCCATGTCGACTCCTGACAGAGCCCAGGCACACAGCAGAGGGTAATCTCTGTTCTGTACCGCTCTGTAGAGTGACAGGTTACACAAAAATAAGCTCAAAGACACATAAAAATATATTATAAAGCATATTACAAGGGGAAGTAGTGAGATATTATGTGATTAATGCTCACTGGATCATTTCCATGGCAATTCTCACAGGGTGCAGATTAAGAGTGACTTCTTTCATGTGCAGGAGTTTGACAGCATGACAGCGCCTAAAAGAAACACCAGTCTATGTATGTGCTGGCAACACAGTTACACTGACATGTTCAAGCTGAGCATGTACAAATGGTTTTACTGCCCCCTATTGTTAGTTTGAATTAAACTGAGCTAGAATTCCCAATAGTGAAATGGGCAGCTGTCAATAGAGGGCTGCGGTGATGACATTTTTGTAGGCCAACCCGGAAGTTGGCCTCATTTTCCCTGAAAATTTGAGTCTGAATAGTTTGAGAGAGTGCGATGAGGCTGTAAAAGTGAGCAATTGCATAGATGGAGTGAGTTGAAATAATTACCTATTAAAAAAAACAAAAACAAGGGGCATTATTGCTGTATTTTATGTTGTAGAATAAAATGTGAAAACATTTTCTAAAAAGATAAGAGTTTTTCTTAAAAGTTTCAGACATTTACCCAAAAATCCTATTGACTTCAGGACAATGGAACTGGAAGCGCTGAAATGCTCACTCATTTCCAGGTTATGGCCTACAAAAATACGTCATCCCTGCAGCACTCTTTAAAGGCCAGACAGGAGCAACACATACACATAGATGAAACAGAAGTTGACATACTTTACTAGTCAAAAATGTCAGCTCAATCAACTGATTTCAGATCACAGAGGTGTACTGTAAATACCTGCTCTTAATGGCCATGTAAAATGGGCAGTGTCCAAAACGGTTCACCTTATGAGGAGATGCTCCCTTTGCTAGCAGGAACTTAATCATATCTAAGTTCCCAAACTCACAGGCTGTATGAAGAGGTGTGACATCGTCATAGGTTCCGCAATTGGCATCCATCTTTTAAATGAATAATAAAGAAATCACTTTGGGTACAAAATAGGTTTGAATTCTAATTGTTTGCTGTCCACCATTTTAGTTTAGGAAACCTGAAGTTTAGTAACCTTCTCTAGGAGGGCGCTTAGAGAGAAGAAATCATTGTTTTCCACAGCTACGCAAGCAAAACACGGTATGATTCTGTCAACAAGCGATCTCCTTATCTAAGAGATAGCAGAGTAATTTCAAGCACAATGGACATATATTAATAAGTATCTATAATTATAGAACAGGTGAAACTGGTTGAAGTCGGGATGGAATCAAAGCTATGGACGTAAAATATTACATTTAAGTTGTCTGGACAGTTTAACAGGTCTGTACAATCAATGTTAATTTTCAATATAAAGTTTCCAGCCTACAAAAAATAATTAGTGTCAATTATTGTGTTACTGGCACGGTAGGCAAGTGAGTCTATTCATGCCTGGACTTCTTTGCCAAGTAGCCACTTAAGTTTCAGCACTTTGCCCAGTCTATGCAGAAACTCTTTGTCTCGGACCACCACTCTGTTAATGATGATGGGCTTGAAGCTGGAATTCACCACAGCTGGTTTCTGCATCACAGAAACTATGAGAGAGACATAAAGCGAGGTGATTTGTTACTTTTAAAAGGAAAAGTTCTAGAAATATTGTAATGCACACAGGAACCAAATTCAATATAGGCTATACACTTATTGTATGGTCTTTTGTATTGGCTAGATATAACCTACTGTGTAAAAGTCAAATAAATCCCATATTTTTTCCTTTGAAAAAACACGTTTTGTTCAGATCAACTGTAATAGGCCCATTCCTAAGAAATCCTAATCTTTTTACGAATCATTTTACGTTTTTTTTTTATCACTGTTTCCACTTTTCATCACTGATTAGTCATTGACAAACACCGTAGGCTAATAAGAGCCCAAAACAAGCAAATGTAAATGGGCTCCACAAGTCGATTCATTACAATATTATTAAATTTGATTGACTACAAATCATGTAATGGCATTATTTATGATTCTCCGATTTAAGCTATCCCTTAACAGCACAACTCAAAAGGACGCTAAGTTATGAGGGTTGTGTAACGTTGTTTTACTTTAACGTTACCCCCTCAGCTTTACAACAAAGCACAATCGCTCGCCCTGCGACTAGAAACAAACCTTAAATCAAGTAGAAGCTGATATATAACAGGATCAGCAAATAAATCGCTTCTGTTGTAGTGAGTGAGGACCGTTGCCTGTGTTGTTAGCAACCAACATACGAATCCTTTGACTGCATAGCTCATGAATATTTAATAGATAACGTTAGCGTGTATGTTGTTTGGTGTTCTGAGCTTCTTATTTATTTATTTGTTTGTTTGCTTGTTTATTTAGTTAGTTGTTAGTTTTTGCTTTGACTACTATTTCGTGGGCCAAGCTCTTTTAAAGTGGAATTTGGTATTTTGCCATCATAAAAATTAGTCCATAACGGCGAATATCACATAACGCGATTAATATTCATGAGCTAAGAATTTTCATCGTAAAATGCATATATTTTTAAAGGGGTCCTCTTATGCTCTTTTACAGTGTCGTGGTTTTGTTTTGGGGGTGTACTAGAACAGGCTCTCATACTAGGTTGTTCGAAAAACACATTATTTTTCACATATTTTACATTATTACAACACCTCTCTCCCCAGTCTGGCATGAACGGCTCGAATAGTTCCTGTATCAAATGAAAGCCCGCCTTCTGAAACACGAAATGTGCTGTGATTGGTTAGCTGGGCCTGTGTGTGTTGTGATTGGCAGCACTCGGCGCCTGATCGGGAAATGTCATGCCCCTTACAATAGCCGCCTGCCAGCTTCAGTGTAAATACTGCGTCAAAATCAAATAAATTTGAGTGCGATTTAAACCCGGGTGATTGTAACCCGTGATTGCATTCGTCTGCCTTGGTAAAGCTAGCGTGTCTCCGACTTAGTGATAACACTCGTTGCCTTCTCTAGTGCAGCTCAACCAGGTCTCGATATTTGTGATATGACAAATCCCGGAAAATATGCGTTGTAGTCCAAACGAGTCGTTCGTTGTAGTTTTTGAAAAGTGATTTCTGTTAAATAACATGTCTCCTTTTGAAGTGGACTTTGAACATTGTAACTTTGCAGATATTTTTTTATGCTCAAACAACAACATTACAGACTAACTAAAGTTGAAAAAATGAAAAAGCATAATAGGACCCCTTTAAATAAGGTAAACTGTTAGCTCGTGTCATGTGACTGACGATTTGCCCGGAAGCTGTCTTGTTTCTTCTAGTAGTGGGCTAACTATCGATGTAAGTAGGCCTACAGTAAAACCAGTCCTTTATTTTTGGTTCTTGAAAAAGAAATTCAAATTTATATTAAGAAAATTTTTTTATTTACATAATAAGAAAGCAATTAAGACTGTCTCTATTTGTAATATTTAGCCCACCCCCTGGCTGTATGTGTATTTTGTATACATATTATTTTTTTGTTTGTGTTTTATGATTTCATGTATATTATTGTAGTCCTAACTGTACTTTCACTGTGTTTATTGAAGTTTAATAAAATAAATAAATAAAATAAGTAGTAGGCTAACTAACAGACAAAGAATGATGGGAACAAGGTGCTGTTTCAAGTTGTAAAGTAAAACCACAAAAGACCATCTTTAAATGTAACTTTAATAATAATTTTAAAAAGCAATCTTTATATGTTTATTTTGATTATTTATATAAAAGTATACAATTCACATTCAATTTTACCGAAAATACAACAACACTTGGAACAAGAAAAACCACATGTAGGCTATAGGAAGTGGATAGTGGATAGGACCTCTGATTTAAATCCAGAAATGTCATGGGATTAAGCAGGATGTAATTCAGTCATGGTCTGAGAGAGAAGGAGAGAAATC